GTTTGCCCTCCTCCAGTCTGCTGGGATTTTTCCTGTTTTCCAGGAGTTTTCAAAGATTATTATTGCCAGTGGCTCTGAGGTGACTTTTGCCAGTTCTTTTAATATCCTTGAAGGTAGTTCATCTGGTCCCGGAGACTTAAATTCATTTAGATTAACCAGGTATTCCTGTACTATCTCTCTGAAACTACTACCTTGAAGCTGGTGCTGGCAATCCTGATAATGTGTGGCTACAGATCCATGTTATTTTGTCCTTAATCTCATTAAAACTGAACTTGTCACCTCATCACCATACCCACAAGTTTTGCATTTCCATTAGTATTCATACAGTTCATAAAGGTCCTTCCTGGGCAACAGTTCACTCCATGCATCAGAGGAAGTAACTTGCAAAACGACATAAGCTTATGCTACAATTTCTTTCACATAGTGAGTCTTAAATGTGCTACAAGATCTCTTTGCATACTGATATTCTAGACTGACATGGGGATGTTTCTGAATTCTAAATAGATGACGTGGAAGGTTAGCCATTGTTATTACAAGTCTTCTCAGGTCTTCGAAACTCAGGACAGCCGTGGCTTCCATGGTGGAGTGCATGCACTCTTTTCCTCCTGCCTTCCACTCCCAGCGTTACTGTTTTCTCCGCTGAGTCAAATGTATGATGGCCCCAGTTTCTTTGCAGTATTACTTGACGTTTGGAGAATAAAGTAATATGTGCTCCTTTCACTACAGTAACACAAAGGGTTTATGTCAAATGCTGTGTTAGACTTGTGCTAGACCTGCCAGTATTCATTGTGGCTGACTTAAGCATCCATATGAGCTTTCATTGATTCTGGAACTATGGGAAATAAAACTCTAGGAGCCAAGTAGAAATCTACTCAGAAGAGGGGATGGAATAAAGATGGCTGAAAGCAGGCTCTCTGGCTGAAAGAAAAGTAGGATTTCTCCATGTGTAGGATCCACTATCAGTAGTGGGAGCTGGGTATGTTTAGCCTGGAGAAGAGACGGTTAAGGGGTGATGTGATAGGCCTGTTTAAATATTTGCATTTGATGGATGTCCATCTGTCACAAGGAGGGTTTTGATTGTGTATTCCTGCATGATGGAAGGGGGGTGGAATGGATGGCCCCTGGGGGTCTCCATGATTCTATGATTCTGTATGGAGAGATATTAGTCTTTCAGATAGTCTGGACCTAAGCTGTATAGGGCTTTTATAGGTCATGACCACCACTTTGAATTGTACCTGGAAATGAACTGGTAGCCAGTGGAGCTGTTTTAACAAGTGAATTATATGCTTCCTGTAACTGGCTCCGGGCAGCATTTTGGCTGCTGAGGTTTGGACCCATTGAAGTTTCTGAACAGTTTCCAAAGGCAGCCCCACGTAGAGTGTGTTACAGTAGTCCAAATGGGATGTAATCAAGACATGTGTCACTGTAGCCAGATCTGACGTTTCAAGGAACGGGTGCAGCTGGCATGCGAATTTTAACTGTGCAAATGTGCTCCTGGCCACTGCTGAGACCTGGGCATCCAGGCTTAGATCCAAATCCAGGAGGAAAACACCCAAGTTCCTGCATGGCAGGGGGTTGGACTGGATGGCCCTTGTTGTCTCTTCCAACTCTATGATTCTATGATTCTATGATTCTATGATTCTATGATTCTAAGCTGCGAGCCTGAGATTTCAGGGGAGTGTAACCCCATCCAGCACAGGCTGTGTCCCTATTCCCTGATCTGCTTTACAACTGACCAGAAGCACCAGATTATTTTCGGTTGTTTGGCCTCATCCAGTCTATTACTGACATTAGACACTGGTTCATCTAGAATATGGACAGCTCTGGTCCTTTGGAGTGGCTCAAGGTGCAGGGATGAAACAGGGCCCAGGCTGAGCGTTGGAGTGGGTTTACATTTCGATTGGTGTGGCTGTTTGTGTCGCTTGGTTTGTAATCCTCTCTCTCTCATGTACCTTTTTTTAGATAGGCTGCGGTAGAAATTTCAGAAATAATAATAGTTCATAAGCTGTGAAATTCAACAGAAAGCTTCACTGTAATGCTCAAAAGCATAGCAAGGATGCAGGAATGAGCACGTAATATCCAGTCATAAAGAGATGTGATGACTAATCCAGGAATGCAATTTTACAAATGAAAAAACTTCTCCTTTGCTTGGAGGGCTGTATGAGATGCCCAAGCGGAAGCATGGCCAGCCCAAAATGGCCCTCGGCGGTGGAGATGCGCTGGTGGGAGCTCGCCCTGGAGAGGCTGAAGGACGGGTTTGCACTGACGTCTCAGAGTTTAAATGGATGACGGAGGACTTCATGAAGTGGCCAGAATCCTGTTGGTGTCTTAGGCCTTGTCGGCACTGCAGAAATAATGCAACTTGACACTGCTTTAATTGCCATGGCTCCATGCTATGGATTGCTGGCATTTGTAGTTTGGTGGTGCACCAGAACTCTCTGGGAAAGAAGGCTAAATATCTCACAAAACTACAAAATTAGATAGATAGAGAGAGGGGGGTGGGGGATTTGATATTCCCTAGGGTTTGGTTCCAGGGCTCTCCATGGATACCAAAGTCTGTAGATGCTCAAGTCCCATTAAATACAATGGCATAGTGAAATGGTGTCTCTTATGTAAAATGGCAAAATCAAGGTTTGCTTTTGGGGATATATATTTGAATAGTTTCAAGCCATGGATGGTTGAATCTGTGGCTAAAAAAAATCCGTGGATATGGAAAAAGGTAAAGGTAAAGGTATTCCCCATTGACAAGGTTGTCAAGTCATGTCCGACCGTAGGGGATGGTGCTCATCTCCATTACTAAGCCAAAGAGCCAGCGTTGTCTGAGGACTACTCTATGTTCATGTGGCCAGCATGACTGCACCGAACACTGTTTACCTTCCCACCAAAGTGGTACCTATCTATTTACTTGCATTTGCATGCTTTCAAACTGCTAGGTTGGCAGAAGCTGGGACTAGTGACAGGAGCTCACCCCATCATGCAGCGCGTGCACACACATGTAATACAAACCATTTAAAAATCAATTCAAAGACAAAATATAAAAATCAACCCAACAGTGCCTCATTAAAAGCTCCTTGCAGTCAGTTCCTAAAAACCTTCACTTGTGCTGCCATGCCCTCCATGTGGGCATCCTGGGAGCACTGTTGTTCATGTTAACTGCCATTAAGTTGACTTTGACGTACGGTGACCCTATGAATGAGAGACCTCCAAATCCTTAAGAGCTCTGCTCAGGTCTTGCAGACTCAGGGCACCCATTTTGTCTTCCTTGAGGGAGTCTATCCATCTGCAATGTGCTCTTCCTCTTTTCCTGCTGCCTTAGGGGGGTTGCAGACTGCCAGAAATAGTGCAAATTGAGTCCACTTTTCGGGTTAGGGTTAGTGCTAGGGAATCATGGGAATTGTGTTTTTCCCTCTGAGACATTGAGCCTTCTCTGCCAGAGAGCTCTGGTGCCACAATAAAATACAGTTCCCATGATTCCCTAGCACTAACCCTAACCATAAAAGTGGACTCAATTTGCACTATTTCTGGCAGTCTGCAACCCCCCTTACTAAACATTATTGTCTTTTCTATTGGGCCATGTCTTCTCATGATATGACCAAAGTAGAACAGCCTCTGCTCAGTCATCTTTGCTTCTAGGAAAGCTCAGGCCTGATTTGCTCTGGGACCCATTTATTTGTCTTTTTTGGCAGTCCGTGATGCCCACAGAACCCTCCTCCAGCACCAATTGATCCTCTCCCCATCAGCTTTCTTCACTATCCATATGTTTCTTTCACAAATAATAGACTAAGATGGAACTGGGTTCAGGGTAGAGATGGACCATCAGTCAATCCATCAGAGCTCTTCTTATCGGGGGGGGGGGGGGAACAAAACAAAACAAGAGAAAGAGTTGCCATTTCTGCAGCATTGACGTTGTCCCTGTTTTAGCTAAGGGCCAGCTCAGTGCCCTATGGCTGGCTGAGTTCTGTGATGCAAAGTAAATGGTTTGTAGTTTGGAACGCAGCGTAGGAAGCTCTGAGTCATCCGCAAGAAGTTCAGCCTCCACAAGAGAGGTCCCCTGGGGTTGCCTGTTTGCTTTCCTCTGTGATAAGGGCAGGGATGTGCTGAATGTGGGGGGAATCTGTGGGATGATACAAAACCTGCTCTCTGCCCCTGATATCAAGTGTCTGGAGACACAGCCTTTGGTGCCTTCGGTCACAGAGAGAGAGAGAGAGAGAGAGAGAGAGAGAGAGATGCTCTTCCATGAGATCTGTAGGGTATGAAGGTCCACCAAAAATTCTTCAGCAAGCTTTGCTAGTATCACACCTGTCCTGATTTAGCAGCGGCAGTAATTATTGATACTCTGCAATCCCACATCCCCACCCACATTTAAAATGTTCTGGTTTCTCTCTTCTCCTACCATTTCCCACCCTTGTGCTCAGCTTATTTCACTCACTGCCAAAGCACAAAAGTAGCTTGCACTCAATTAACTCAGCAAAGGGAGAGGAGAGGAGGGGCAGAATCTCACCCTTCCCAGTAGTCACAGGCAAAAACAAACTGCTGCAGCCACTTTAGCAGAGATTGAAGCTGAGTGCCTTGTTTTTGACCTCGGAGGGAGTGACCTGCACCAGCAATGGTGGTGCTAGGTGGCACAGTGGGACACGCACAACTAGCCGCCCAACATCTCTCCAGAATGCACAGACAATGGGGCACGTTTGAAGCCAGTAAACTCTGGGACCAGCTTGGAGTATTATGACCAGTGTTGAGAGCCAGTGTGGCATAGTGGTTTGAGTGTTGGACGACAACTCTGGAGACCTGGGTTTCATTCCCAGCTTGGCCATAAAACCCACCGGAGGACCTTGAGCAAATCACACTCTCTCAGTCTCAGAGGATGGCAATGGCAAATCTTGCCATGAAACCCCCAGGATATGTTTGCCTTAGGGTCGCCATAAGTTGGAAATGACTCAAAGGTACACAACAGTAACAAATAACAAAGACCTGCCCTTAAAACATGTATCAACCTCAACAACAAGGAATTGGATTAGATGGGTTATTTGTGAGCCTGGTAGTTCAAGGATATAGCAGCAGCTGGGAACAGAGCAGGGCAAACTCTCCTGTTAGCAACTTGCTTCTACTGTTTGCAAAAATGTTAGGACGGAGATGGGTCACCCTTGTTTGATTCTGCCCTATATAACCACAAGGATTCTTGCTCCATTTGCCTTACCCCAGGATCTATTATCCTGTTTAACTAGCATATCCTGAGATATTCTAAGGATAATGCATTGTTTCGGTCCACAGTTCTACCACTTGCTGTGTGAGGATGCTGGACCCATCGTTCGAAGGGCTTTGATGCTTTCCCTTGCTGTAGTGTAGATCACCTTCTGCACCCATTTGCCACTGATAAAGCTTGCCGTATAGCCATGATACGTACCAGTTTCTGGTTCTGTGCAAAGCCTTAGGGAGGTCAGTCATAGCCACTACTTCCAGCTCTGATATCATGTTTTTCATCAAAGTGGCCACCTTCCTCTGTCCTCATCTCCAGGGCATCATAGAATCATAGAATCATAGAATCATAGAGTTGGAAGAGAC